GATTCACTTGCTTGACGGAGACCAATTGCCTTCACCGTATGCTGTCGTGAAAGCCGATTTTCTTTTCACCAAATCCGCGGAGGTTAATGCAGGCTACTAGAAAAATGGGTTAAGAGGGACAAATCGATGCACTGCGTCTTATGGGAAGGCCGTACGCCACTCATTCAGCTCTGTTAGGCATAGGTTTTACTGGCATTTATATTCGGTGATAAGGAGATAGGAACTCCTATAACAAGTCTTCTGCCTGTACCTACCGTTGACTGGCAAATTTTTCGTCATTGACTTCCATGAAAACTACTGCTAGCCCGAGGAGCCGTAGTGTCTTCTACGAACTAGCCTTTGATGTCTTTACTTATTTAGAAATAGACAGTACAAGCTGTCTTTCAGTCTCGCGGGCTTGGTTAGCCTCACAGTTGAGCAACTGTAAAACTACTGCTTTTTGGGAGTCATGTTGGCTCAAAGAGAACACTTAGCATATATCATACCCTCGACCGCCCGTCTATAGTAACCATTTTGGCTTGTTTGCCGCCATTTCCAGTGGGGTCCAAACCCCAACCCCTGAGTTGTGAACTGGGGGCAGTCCGCTGCTGACTATTTAGGCCAAAGCTTCTGTTACTTTGACTACAAACGCTCTTCGAGAGCACATGAGAGTTTCGTTCATTGGTATATCACAATTTCAAGACGGTTTGCTTTCCCTGTCTGCGAATCCAATGCATCTCATCTTCGTCGGTGTGATTGGTCCTAATGGGCTGTTGTCAGTTCGCCTGTGGAATATCTAAAGAGCATTCGGCTATACTTCTTAGTCTATTTATAGTTCCTAAGTTCTGATATTCAAAGCTGTGTGTTTTGTTAGTGTATTTTAACAATCTTACTGCGTTAAAAGTATTTTTGGCTTTTTACTTCCAAAACCAGCTATTTATCAGTTTAGCTAACCCAATGCATAAAATCCCTACGACCACCAATAACTTATTGCAAGACTGTTGATAGAAGCGAATATGCGAGTCCCAGAAAGCCCCTCAGAAATGTAAGGTGCAATCGCTGAAACAGGAAGTTTATTTGCCAGGGAATAGGGTACTATATGCACAAATTACGCAGTATTTATAGTTCTAAGTGGCCACGCAACCGCATGCGCACTATAATTGTCAGCCCCCGTAACCACCGCTGGGGGTCGTAATAGGTGTGCTCATGGCTTTGTAGTCCGCTTCCAAGTTGGATAGGGGCTTAATAATTGCGAGACAGTTATGTTCGCTGTCTTCGGAGTTGTTACTGGGCCTGGCCCTTCCCACGTGCCTGATTCTCCTGTTCAGACGATGTCTCAGTACGGGTTATGAGAACGGCAAGTCGTTGCGCTAGTTGCTTGACTGTGGG